GGACCACAGCTGTGGGGCCCACATCAGTGTTCTCTACAATAATATATATAATATATATTAATATATAATATATAATAAAATTATAGAAAATAATATATATAATATATTAATTATTATAATTCTTAATTTTTTAAATATCAAATATATTATTCGGCTCGGCTCGGCTCGAATCCACCCCTAGATACCAATCAGCTTCATCTGTTTGTTTTTCCTCTCTGCTTTTGTTTTGGACAAGAGATGAGATATTTCTCTTTTATCTTACAATAAACAGAATTCACTGTTACCAATCAATAGAATAATCTAAGAACCCTTTAGCTGAGGGAGATTCCTGGCATCATAGATCTTCCTAGGTTCCATATCACGAGAAACTACTAATCAACGAGCACAACAAATTTGGGAAGGATTTTGCCAATGCTTCCAATGACAGAAAAAAGAGTTGCCGTAGAAGTAAGGCTTACATCCCACCCTCAGAATGTGTGGCACATTTGCTCTTCATAGCTGAATTCCAAAATGAAATCTTCAAAGCCACCTCTCTAGCAACATAGTATTTCTTTTCCTAACTCTCCCAATTCCCATTCCAATTTTGCTCTTTGCAATTGCAAACCATCTTCCAATTGATATGATGATATTTTCTATTTCTTTGTTCATACAAGGTCCTCATAATCATCTCTGTCCTCTTGACAACCTTACCTAAGATCTAAAAACAGAGAAAAGGAAGACTAGCATTCTGAATGTGGATTTTGATGAGAATAATCCAACTCCAAAAAAAAAGATGTAAACTGTTTTTGGTTGTATAAAAATGAAGGAAAACAAATGATTTCCTTGAAAAATGATATTCAATAGGAAAATGAATCATATTCCTAATTTTCCTGGTAGCTCACTTAACTTGGAAAACAAAACCTGAATGGTTGAGAAATATACAAGTAGTGAAAAGCATGAACCAGGGGGGCCAACCTCTGTAATTTACAGAATATTATAAGGAATGCCAATTTTCCTCTGTTTAGTATTCACCTTTTGGAAAATGTTCGTTTTCTACAGCCATTTTACAAGTAACCAAACACAGTAAAATAGCAACTTTCAGGAAACTGTTCGTTCTCCTTCATTTTATGTGCAACCACATGGAGCCATGGTTACTTTTCGAAGATGTCCAACTTCTTTCCACCACTTTGCTCCAAGGTTCACTGGATACATGCCTGAATATCCTCGATTATCTATTTTTTCTCCCTTTTCTTAGTTCGAAATTTCATATTTGCATTTCATACCTAGAAATAAAACAGATATAAACATAGCATTCCAGTGAAAGAAGTTGCTGAAGCTAGTTCCATTATGTTTCAGAATAACACACTCCGACATTCAACTGTCCCACCACTTGGCGGAATCCTCCAAGTTGTTTCCCTTGGGATTGAATTTGAGAATGTATTCAAATATTTAAGTTTTACATAGAAATCACAAAACAATTATCGCCCTAATGACTGCGAATTTATATGTAGAGCATTAAACGGTATTTTGGCCTTAGGCCCAATCTGATATCTTCCATGACGCTGATATTACGAATTTTTGTCAGTATGACCTGTGGCATATAATCCATCTTCTTATTTCCGAATTTCACAGTAAAACGAACTTCATGCATTTAAGTTACAGCTCTGAACAGATGAAACGAAAAAGCAAACCCTACCCAACATAGCAATTCAAGATGCTTAACAAAACAAAATATGATCATACAAAAACAGATAGTTTCTAATCAAAATAAATGTTAAAGGAGATCCAACTGAAGCATCGGGGCTTCGAGTTTTACCATCGCCAAGAAGAACGAGCTTAAAGGTGAGAGCCTGAGGCTTTGAATTCATTATATGATTTATCGGTAATCAAGCTCATCAGATGTCACCGACGAAGAATGATCAAGAGAGAGTGAAATTTCTGCAAATATGATTTCGAATCAACGTCTTTGGTTCTGAGAGTCTATTGTCGTTCTTGCGAAGAAACGCGGACAAGTCCGGAACGCGTGTTTAACTCAAATGCAGACCAAAATCGCCAACGACAATGCGGACCTCGCACGCATTCCGCATTGTCTGGTCACGAAATGGTCCGCATTCCAATTTCCATTACGAAAGCAATCCATCAGTATGTTATGTCTGGTCACGAAATGGTCCAAACGGGTGATTCTGTTTTAAGCGCTATTATCTAAAACTCCCCATCAATTTTCTACGTTTCTCTTAAATATACCCTGAATTTTCTTATTTAAAACTTACCTTCCGTCAGGTCACCGTTAGTGACCATTAATATAAATTGTCCACCTGACCTGATCTATTAATAACTTTTAATGACCAAACTAACCCTAAACTGTCAGTCATGCTTTGGAATTTGGACGTCCTCTGGTTCCCATATATTTGCTTCTGACAATCCTTGTCCCAAACTTATTCGTACTGTATTTCCTCTGCACCCATGTGAGCTTCCCAGATCCTGCTTTCTAATGGAAAGTTACCATCATATGGAACATTGGAACATTCCAGGAGCTGATTGATCTTCTGTATAGTTGGTATTCAACTCATTGAGCATTGTATATCGCAGCTGCAACTAACAAAGATGGCGTGGGAAATTGAGCAATATTTCATACTCAACCAGTGAACCAGGTAAAGCTCGATCACGAAGAATGAGAGAGAAAGCTCAAGCTTCTTGTCAGATTGAGCTGCTTTGAAGAACCTCTTCATGAATACACATGGGGTAGGAACAGACATATTGAACTGTATTGTGCTAACCATTAGCCTCCCCTCTCTTGTGTAATCCTTATTAAACAACAAGAAACACAGACAACCACTACCTAAGCTACTAACCCCAAGGAGGAACACAATTTCTCATCAGATTGTTTTCACTACCAAAATGATCAATAGCTGTATGGGTTGCCCTGTTCTCACGAGAGAGTAATCCAAATCTTGAGAAAGCCTTAAAATATCATTGATCATGATGTAAGGGTATCTGGCCGACCTACGAACCTTGACACGTTGCATTGGTCGGATCCATCTGGCGGATCTTGACACTTGGCATCGGTCGGATGTGCCCTGACCATCCATCACCAACCACTGCCAACCGTCACCACTTGTTCCCAACCACTCCTCCTCTCAAGCAATTCCAACTATAAAAACGAGCTCCCACATTGAGGTAAACACATTGGAACTCAAGTTCTAAGTCTCCTATCTTTCTTGGTTCGACCCCTAAACCCTCTACTAACTTGACCGTCAAAGCCTTCACCCATGGGATAACTCATGGGCCCTCTTACATCTTCTTTCTTTCTCTCAGCAGGTTGAACTTGTCGGCCTTGGATGCTAGAAATTACATTGTTGCTCTCAGCTCCATATTTGGCAGCAACATTTGGTGTTGTCTATGGGATCATTTTCAAAACTTTCCATTAAGAAAAAAGAAACCTAATTTAATCAACTAGTGTCCCTAAAATGGCTAACAAGCAAGACCCCGTTCTTGATGTTCGAAACTTAGTCATAATTGACCAGTTCGAGCTGGTCCTGAACAGGCTGGACAACTAGGCCTAGTGATTGGACAACATAGGGCGTCTGGCAAGAAGCCACCCATAGGGTAGCCACCCCATCGGAAACCATGAACAACACAATAGGCAATCCACTCGTACCCCACTAAGCCAACGCTTGGGCGGCCCGAAGAGAGCCAATCCCTCAGAGTTAGAGACTAGCAGTCGATGGGCTGGCAAACTCCTTTCCAAGATCCCTCGGCCATCAACACCATCGCGTGATGACCAATCGAGATGACGGCGGGCGCTCAGGCCACTGTAGTCCCCCTCCAAGGGCAGGAGGTCGGCGCCACGCCTCTCTCCCACCAGTTTTTAACCTTCGCGACCTTCTCAACGATCATCGTGACCATAAGGCTCAGGACGTGCCAGTGTCTGACCACTCCGAGAATGGGGCCGGCCCGTCCCACGTGAGAGATACCCAGGACTATGCCAAAGCGACTATGCCATACGTCAACCAATGCCTCGGAGATGTTCATCTTAGATTGGCGCCCTTCAAGATCATCTTTCATAAGTGAAGGAGGGCCGAGGTAACGCCTCCACTAGTTGCCCGACCTCTTCCAGTCGAATGGAGGTGTTCGTAGATTCCACCCTCTTCGAGCCCCTCTTGCCAAATTTCAAGGCCCTGGTGTTGGAGACCTACGATGGGAGTATAGACCTTGAGGACCACCTGGAAAGCTTCTGGGACCTCATGCTCCTACACGGATGCTCTGACACCCTTATGTGCCAAGCTTTCTAAGCCACATTCAAGGGAGCAACGCGTCGATGGTTCTCCACACTGCCTCTACACTCCATCGTCTCTTGGGAACAATTCATGGACCTCTTCCTAGATTACTTTTTGAGTAGTCGACAGTGTTAGAAAACCAACATCTCCCTAATATCCATCAAGCAGAAGCGCGGGGAGAGCCTTCGGGCATACATGAAGAGGTTCAACCAAGAAAAACTCGAGGTCAGGGACCTTGACCTCTCATCTCCATGCACGCAGCCATCAGTTGCCTCTAGCCTAGACCCCTCAGCTGATCCATTTCCACGATTTCGCCCAAGACAAAAGCAAAGTTCTTGAAGAAGGTTTAGAAGTACATAGCCGCCGAGGAGGCCAAAGCCAACAAACGCCTCTAAGAACCGTAAGTCGAGGCCAACTGAGGCCTAGTGACATGAAGAGGAAGGACAAGGATGGCCGCGACAACAGTCCCACCAACAAAAGAGGAGAAAAGAAGCCGTTGGCCCCTTCCTTCAATAAGTAAATGCCACTAAACTCCTCTCAAATGCACATACTAATGTAAGTAGGGAATGAGGAATTCATGAAGTGGCCGGCCAAGTTGAAGAGGAATTCGAGAAGGGGAACTCCAAGAAGTACTGCAACTACCACCACGACATCGACCATGACACCAATGACTGCTACGAGCTTAAGAACGAGATCGAGTCCCTCATCCACTGTGGGAACTTGGAGGATTTTGTCGAGTGTGATGCCCCAGCATCATCCTCATAGTAGCCTCAAGCCAAGCCACGTAATCATTGCCCCTAGCCGAAGTCATTGAAGTCATAATTGGAGGCTCAGCCTCAGGGGGAGCATCCACCTCGTATCGAAAAGTGCATGCCTGATAGCACAACATCCAAAGCCAAGCACCAAAGAGGCCAAGGTCGAAAAACCTCATTTCCTTCTCGAAAAATTACCTACGAGGGGGTATCTATGCCCCACAATGATGCGTTAGTGGTGTCAATGACCATCGCCAACTACTTGGTGAAAAGGATCCTCATAGACAATGGCTCTTTAGCTAACATCCTATTCTATGAGACGCTTGAGAAGATGCAGTTGATGTTGGACCAACTATAGGTCTATAGCCCATTGGCGTGCCACTCGTTGGCTTCTCCAGGGCAATTGTCACACCCGAAGGAAAGAATTAATCCTACCAATCACCGTAGGGATTGAACCTTGGCACGTCACTCGGATAACTGAGTTCTTGGTCATGAAGATAGGCTCACCTTATAATGCCATCATAGGGAGGTCGACCCTTTACGCACTCAAGGCGGTCGTCTCATCTTACCACCTCGCCATGAAGTTCCCCACAAAGCATGGGGGAGGTTAGAAGAAACCAGTAGACTACCAAACAGTGCTGTGTTGCGGTGCTAAAAGGCAAGAACAATGAAGCTTACCACTGGAGGGGCTCGACCTCAGGGATGAACCATCAAGCCGAGGACCTCATCTCGGTTCCCCTAGACAAGGCCAAGACTAAGAAAACGGTATGAGTTAGGTCTTACCTCCCTCAAGACACACTTTCTGAACTAGTAAGCTTCCTCCGAGCCAATACTGGATTGTTTGCTTGGTCCACTACTAATATGCCAAGAATTGACCCCTTAGTCATTACTCACAGGCTGAGGGTGGACATGAGTTGTAGGCCAATTCAGCAAAAGAAGAGGAACTTTGCATTGGAACGTTAAAAAATCCATCGGAGAGAAGGTGGACAAACTATTTCGTGCCAGCTTCGTACAAGAGCTACACTACCCTAAATGGCTATCTAACGTGGTCATGGCTAAGAAAGGTAATGGGAAATGGCACATCTGCATTGACTTCACAGATCTCACCAAGGCTTGCCTTAAAGACAACTTTCCTTTGTCAATGATTGATCACATCGTCAATGTCACCATAGGGTACGAGGTACTAAGCTTCATTGATGCTTTTTCTGGCTACAACCAGATAAAGATGCATCCGACTGATGAGGAAAAGACCTCGTTCATCACCGAGCACGTCACCTACTAGTACAAGGTGATGCCTTTTGGATTAAATAACATTGGGGCCACTTACCAAGGACTGGCGAACAAGATCTTCAAAGAGAAGATGGGGAGAAATGTTGAAGCCTATGTCAACAACATGGTTATGAAGAGTCTTAGGGATAGCCAGTACACCTCGGACCTCGACGAGACATTCGGGGTATTGAGAAAATACAACATGAAGTTAAACCCCCACCAAATGTGCCCTCGGAGGCACCTCGGGAAAATTCTTGGGTTTTGTAGTTACCCAACATGGCATAAAGGCCAAGCCCGAGAAATTACGCCCCCTCGGTCAATCAAAGAAACCCAGAGGCTCATCGGTTGAGTCGCGGCCCTCGGCCGATTCATGTCCAAGCCGGTCGACCGTGCATACCCTTCTTCTGAGACATCAAGAAGTTTAAGGATTTCCAATAGACAGAAGATTGACAGAAAGCCTTCAAAGAATTAAAGTCCTACCTCGCGTAACCACCATTGCTTACAAAGGCTCCTTTTGGGAGAAACTTTATTCTTGTACCTATTGGCGGGGGACGAAGCAATCAGCTCGGTGTTGGTTTGGAAAGACAAGGGAGTTAAGAGGCCAGTATATTACATCAACAAGGTGATCCACGAGGCTGAGACCATATACCCAAAAGTAGAGAAAGTAGTCTTTGCGCTAGTAATCTCGACCATAAAGCTGAGACCTTACTTTCAAGCCCACAACATCTCGGTGTTAACAACCCAGCCCCTCAAGTTGATGCTCTCGAAGCTGAAGACCTCAGCTTGGCTAACCAAATTGGTTGTCGAGCTGTTGGAGTTTGACTTACACTATCA